TTGTTGGGGTGCTGTTTAAGGTGTCGGAAGACGTTCATTGACTTTGCCGGGCAGCCAAGTGACATCATAATTGAAAATTGAGCCAATGAGTGAATGAGCGAATGAACGATCGAGCGAGCGAGTCGCAGCGCTCAACTTACTAATTGTCTGTCCCGTCGTAACATATTTTAGTCGCATTTCTTAGACACCCTACGTGTATGCGCTCCATAATCTTATCGAAACATTCGAGTTGGCTCAATAATCAGCTATGCGGGCAACCTCTAGCTTTTCATATTGGGAACACTCTAATTGAGCTATATATGCGATATATGTCCGACACAGTTACATACATCATTTTTGGTGTACCTTACAAGTGCTAACTGTGGATGTTTGTCATGTTTGTAGCTGTCCCGCATACCCAGTTTCAACTCTAATTTAGGCCATTAGAGGTTATATTTATATGCATACATATGTATTATATATATTGTGAGTCACACGCTGACTGTCATTGGAATATGTTGTTTAGGTTTAAGTTTATAATTAGATGGTAGATGCCATTGTTTGCTCATTGCCTGTTGCAGTTTGATTGACAGCAGCATAGTGAAAGAGCGAGAGAGGCATAGAGCCAGTGGTGAGTGAATGAAAGCGAGCGAGAGCGAGGGCGAGAGAGCGGGTAATTTGTCACGATTTTGCTTATTTTTAGCAAACTTACGACGTTGATGAAACGTAGACGGAGCAAAGTGTACTGCGCGATAAGAAGTATTATAAAGACAGCATTGTTCGTTGCGTCTGATTAAATACTCTTTACAGAGCACACGTAAAATGTCCTTGAATTTCTAAGAAGTATTTTAGTATAGAATAGAAGCGTTTCCTCATTTTAAGTATATATATATATTATTCAGATTTATAACTAAGACTAATATACTTCAAGTTCCATCACGTCTAACTACTTACAATTTATTCTAAAGTATTTATTTTTCACGCTCAAGAATCCCTTCAAATATTCATACAAACCTTTAGGATATACTCTTCACGAGTTTCTTATCAATTGCCGTAGACTTTAAAACCACTTGCTAATGCCCAAGGTATGAGTCAAAGCTTGAAGCAATGTGTGGTGTCTCAATTAGCCGCAAATATCGGTCAGACGTGCACAAGCCCATTAAATGTACAATATTTACTTTGTGAATGTTGCCATTTGCGCGTACAACAAAGGAATTGATTGGAGCAGCTGGCCAAAGGGTCTATTTATAGGCTACTCTTAATGGGGCACTAGTTGAGAGTGCAATGAGCATAACAACAGCAACAACAGCAACAACAATCACAGACACTTGTCGCGCAACAGATGCGAGTTGTAGGTGGGTAAAGATTACAGTAGGGCTATTCAGTGTAGAGAAGCGTGTGAAAATGACGCCAAGTCCAAACAAAAGAAAGACAAGCGAGAGATTTCTTATCGTTGGAATGTTTGACTAAACTGATGAACGCCTCATTTTTCACTTTCAGGCTGCCATACGACTGGATGAGCCCGCGGCCAAGGTGAATCATATCAAGAGCCAGCAGGAAGAGTGCGAAGTGAAGCTGGAAAAGGAGCGTGATGCATGGGCGGCACAAATGCTGGAGCTAATTGCCAAAGAGGACGAGATCGTTAACTGCATTCGGGACTATGTACTCAACCAAAGAAACTATCATGAGCGTGCGCTGCAGCATGTGAATGCATCCCTGGCGCGCATTCAGGATACCATACAGGGCACAGAGAAGTCGCGATTTGGCACCTCGCTCAAGGAACATTTGCAGTCGACGCATCGAGACATCTCCTACATTGTGGAGCTCTGCTGTTGCTGCTTGCTGGAGCATGGTCTCGAGGAGGAGGGTCTGTTGCGTGTGGGCTGTGCCAGCACTAAGCTGAGACGCATGAAGCATGCGCTGGAGGCGCAGCATGTGAAGACACCCCTGCCGCTGGAGTATCAGGATCCCCATGTCATCGGCTCCATACTGAAGCTGTATCTGCGCGAGCTGCCTGAGCCGTTACTCACCTACGGGTTGTACAAGGATTTTATACGTATTGCGGAGCGGCACACCGAAGCGGAGCGCAAGACGGAGATTAAGGCTATTTTAGTCAAGCTGCCCAAAGAAAACTATGCCAATCTGCGCTACCTCACACGCTTTCTGGCCCTTATGCAGCAGCGGGCCGTGCACAATAAGATGAGCTCCCAGAACTTGGCCATTGTCATGTCACCGAACATGCTCTGGCCGCGTGTCGACAAGAGCAGCAACGCAGCAGCCGACTATATTGGCCAAGTGAACAGCTCCTCAGCTGCTAACATCATTGTCGAGCTGCTGATTAGTCAATGGGATTACTTTTTCGATGGCGATGTCGAATTCTATGTGACGCTGCAGCGTCAGAAGCTCTTTGTCGAAGGCAAAACCAAATCGAATTCCTCTAATGAGCATTTGGATAAGCATGAGAATGGTAAGTGTTAACGATGAGTAAAGTTTTAAGCAGCTATTTAACTCTCTTCGGTGTCATCCTAGAAGTCATGGAGAGCCCGCGCTATGGCACGCTGCGCCGCCAGAAGCCCAATGCGCCGTCGCCTCCAACCAAAACAGAGTCCACCAGCAATGGCGTTGGGTCCAGTCATCGGCCGCATGCTAAGGAGCTCTTCCCGCATCAGGATGACAAGCCGGAGAAGCAGGAGAAGCAAGAAAAACCAGCAAAGCCTCCGCTGCCTAATCTGCCGTCATTCCAGCAACCTGCTGCAGTCAGTCAGCCAACGCACACACAGCTGGAGGCATTGCCGCCGCCACCAGTGACGCCCGCCAAGCCGGTTCCGATGACGCGCACACAGTTCTTTGGCCTAGACAATCTGCCCTCGCCCACAGCGGATCGCAGGAGCATCGATAGCATTGGCAGCTTTCGTTTGAAGCCCGACCTACCACAAAAGCCACAGCTGCCCAAGCGACCTGTGGCATTGGGCCTGGGGAGCGGAGGAGGGGGTAGTGGTGGCTCCAGGTACGAAAGTAAAAGCGACGATGAGGCCATAACGCCGACACAGGCGATCATTGATAATGGCAATGTACGCTTCACCACGGAGAAGTTCATAGAAAAACTGCGACACGAAAATTGTGATACCAATGGCACGCGGGAGGAGGCAACGACGGGAACAACTAGCAACTCAGCGTCAACAACAACAATGACTAGTACAGCAGGCACAGAACACAATCATAATCACGAGCATCAGCAGTCAACGGGAGAGAAGGAGCAGCAGAATTTGCCTTCCACGCCCATATCGCCCAATTCATTTCAAACGCCCAAAAGGCCAACGGTGCCAGCGCCGCCGCCGCCAACAATACGCAAGCAGTCGGAATAGTGTAGTCAATAGCGAATCCTTAGTTAACCGGTGGCGCTTTCTATATGTTAACCGTAAGACTTGAACGCACAGTAATTTAGTTTAAAAAAATCAACAAATCAAACAAAGCCTTTCAATAAGTTGCATTAAATTATATAAAAATATATATAATAGAGTGAAAGCAACTTAATATTCTGTATTCAGCATTTGTATTCTTTGCAATTTAAACGATATGTGTTTTATTTTAGCCATATGTGAGAAGATATACATATACATATATAAATATATAGTATATAAACATTATATTATATACGCATGTATTAGTCTGTAGTAGGCATTCATGAATTAACTCAATTTTTGTCGAAATTTACGCAATTTTTTAATTATTATTGTTATCCTTATTTGAAAGGTTGTGATACACAGAAAAAGAAGAGACAAAAAACACGAAGGTTTGAGTTTCCTTAATTTTGCTTTGCTCTGTTCCCCACTTTCTGAAAGACAATTTCAAATGTGATTTAAAATTTGAAAAATTTGTTGCCTTCGTTTTTAAATTTGTTACGCTTTGTACTAACCGAAATTGAACTTATCTTCGCAGTTCTTCGAAAAGAAGACGATGCGAAGATGATAAAGCAACGCTCAAGCGTGTTCTATGTACATAGTATATATATATTTTATCGAAAGTCTTATCAATTTTAATTTTATGTACTCTGTATTTTGCTTTATTAATTTGTAATGCAACTATTAATATTATTTTTTATCTATATTAAACCGATGTATGAATATTTGTTGTGTATATAAAATATACATTAAAAGTCATTTATGATTTCATAAACTTTTAACCTATTTTCTTTCGTCCATTTGTAATTGAAATGAAACACTTTAATTGTACGTGAATATAAAATATATAGTTAAGCGTTTATTCAGGGTATAAAAGTTATAAATATAGGTAAAAGAAAAGGTGAATGAGATATGTATGAAAAATCTGAAATTGTATTATCTAGCAGTTAGAGGTTTACTTGGCTATATATCGCTTTATATGGTAAGCAATATAGAGATGTTATGGGTGGTATTTATAATGTAACAAGCAATATACTTATTCCAACAATTAGTTAACTCGATGACAACTTTCCATTCTCTCTTGAGTTATTTTTCTTAATTTTTTACTGTTTTCTAGACTTTTTATATATTGCTCTTTATGCTGAACTAGTTAAGAACCAGGCACAACTAACCATAAGCTATATCTACATATATCTAACTATTTTTCAAACCATTTAAAATTTCTATAAAGCCTAACAGGATCAAATCGTAATATTTGTGCCATAATTGAATTGAATACCTGATTGAACGTCTCTAAGAAAAATATATAATTATCTGAAACAAAGAATTTGCACCTAACATCGTCTATCATATCTAAACACTATATTTTCACATCTAAGAAAAACACAGATTATATTATATAAACGCTTCAACTGAAAGATAGAAAGTGTGTGAGAATTATAGAATTTATATAGAAGTCAGACCAAGCTAAAGGAAAAATGAATCAAAAGTTGAAGGCACATCGTACACATATACATATACATATATAGTATTTATAGCTGAAAACTTCAGATAATGTTGAAAAATTTGGAAATATATATTCTGCTACAATTGAAATAAAAAACGCTGGAAACATTTGCGACACAAAAGATTGTTGTATTCTTTAGAAAATGATTAGAGCAATAAATATAATATATACTATTAAGTAAATAAGAACAGTTCTATTTGATATCGTATATAAAACTAGCTTATGGCACTGTCAGCCGCGTTGCAAAGATCAGGCAAGCGGTAGACACCTGTGATGTAGAGGAAATAGAGTAGCTTTTTGGTTTGTCCTATATTTAATGGCTTAATGGAACTTGGAACTGCCTGTTTCGTTGGCTGCTCCTTAGTTTCCAGCTCACGCACATAGTCCATAAAATTGTCCACATTTAGAGGCGTCTCCTCGACGGCCTTCGCCTCGCCTGCAGCTTGAAGTTTACGTTGAAATTCACTACGATAATAATCATTAATCATGGACATCATGCTCTTCGAATACCTATGATCACACAATATATGAAGTATATGGAAATCTTACATGCATAAGAGGCTTACCAATAGATAATGCCTATCAGCAATATACCCTGCATGAATGGGCCCACCATCTTATCGGTGGAATGTGTGTTAGCTCAAGTATTTCTCTAGGTCTATTGTTTCTGTTGCTGTTCTCGGAAGCTTTCCCACCATTGGTTTAGCATAAAGAACTGTTCCTTAATATGAGGCCAGGCCATGGTCACAATCAACATAATCGTATTGGCAAAGACAAACAATTTCATCATCTCAAATGCTGGTTGGGAAGAGAAAAGGATTAGAAGGCAGACTTTTATGTGTAGTTCGTTCTTACAGACCCTCCGGCGTGCGCAGATAGTCCCCGAAGCCGGAGTTTAGATCCTTATCCTGCTCATCCTTTTGCTCAGGCAGCTTCTGCTCCTTGCTCTGCTTGCCCTTGCCCTCTGCCTTATCCTTGTTGTGGGCGTGTCCTTTGGCGTGTCCGCTATGCTTGTGCCTGCCGTAGCCCGTTGATGTATTGGCAAAGGCCGATTTCTTCGATTTCATCGCATCCAATTGGAGCAGAGATAACAGCACCTGCCACTGCTGCTCGGTATCCAGCACGGGGCACGTCCTAACGCTGCCAAAGCTGCTCCAGCAATGACATATCGCCACAATTTGTGACCCATTCCCGCGACTCTAGGCAATTTTATGGTTTCTTTTTTATCGATTTGCATTTCTTACTGTTTGTTCTAGGTGCTGGGGGGCATCGGCTGCTTTTACGAGCTCATACAAACAGTCAGTAGAGCAATGCGCTTAAAATATCTATGCCTCTTATATTGCCAGCCCGAATTGAGCAGAGCACAGAGCGCGCCTAATTGATTGCCCAAGTGTGTTAACAATGTTCTGAATGGATCTGTTTTTACAGCTGTACTTCTATTATATATTGGGGTAATCTGCACCAAATATAAAACAAATTCATTTGGAATATTTTCATTTTAACAGAATAGAAAAGATGTAAACATTTTATTAAAAACTTTTCCATATTTAACTTTGATTTTTCGAGTTTCTTTTTGTTAATTTAATTACTAAATTGATATTTGCAAGAATTGTGAAAATGTAATGAAGTTAATTTCTCTTAATTTTCTTAGTATTTTATAGATATTCGTTGGGCTATGGATAGTTTAGGGAAATGAACTTTCAAATGAAATAAAAATCAAAAATGCAATTATTTTTTACATATTTATTAAATAATAATTGGTTTAGTTATAAACTAATTTGTAGATCTCATCTTTGAACTTATATAACTAGTCTTTCAACGATTTTACACATGTAAAAATATTCCTAAATACAATATTTAACTAAGAGTCATTAAACTTTTCCAATTATCACATATTACAAGTGCGTGCTGTAGCAGTCAGCTTCCTTCTGCTGCAGCCGCTGCTCGTGTTGCATTCTGTTCTGCCTTGCTCGGGGCGTACGCAGGCAGCAGGTGCAAAGGCCGCCCAGTACAACCAGCGCACAGAAGGTGGACAGGGAGAGGGCAATGTTGAGCTGCTTGAGCAGCGTAAGAAACGAGGCGGAGAGCAGCCAGACACGCGCCCATGTGACAACCGAGAAGGCAAACGGAGCACGCTTCTCCGCTGGCAGAGACTCGCCCATGCAGGCCATAAGCATGGACTGGGCGCAGGAGACGCCCGCCTTGGGCAGAACGGTAAAGCACATCCACAGCATAGTCTCATAGAGTTGTGGCACTGAAAGCGCAAGAGTATAAATCATTTGTCGACTGGCCAAGCATGCATTAGACACCTACTCTCCACACCATTCAAGAGCCAGCACAGACAGCCAACGAAGCCGCCCACCATGCAGAAGCCACCCGCCCACTGCCACTTGTGGGCGTTGTGCTTGTTGCATAAGTGGACGGCGAGCAGACAGCCAAGAATCTCGGCCAGGCCAATGAACATAGTATTGGGCGTCAGATAGTCGCGCCCAAACGTGCGTATGTTTAGGAGCAAGCCCATGTGGCTGATGAGAAAGGTGGCCAGGGCCATGTGCGTGGCCAGCATATGAAGCTTGGCACGCGAATGGCCATGCCATAGCTCCAACCAGCGGGCGGCTGGTGGTTGTGAACGCAGCTTCTCGCCCAGCAGTTCCAGCTGCAGGCAGAGATCATCTGGTAGCCTGGAGCAGCGCTCGTTAATGCGTGCCGCCTGCAGCAACAGCTGCTGTACATGCTCCACAGCAGCCGTGGGCTCTGCGCGCTGCAGCAGCCAGCGCGGCGACTCCGGCAGCCACGGCAGCAGCAGCACAATAGCTAATGGCAGCGAGGTGATGCCCACATAAACCTGCCGCCAGCTCTGAGAAAATGCAGCAATGGCGGGCAACAGTATGATGCCAACGGACCAGAAGGCCTCGTACAGTAGAAGCACGCCCTGCCGGTACTTGCCCGCCGTAATGTCGCAAACTGCAAAGGATAAAAGAAACAAAATCTCAATGAGCTGTCTGGTCGGGATTAGCTGCTACGCACATATAACTTGTCCGGCTGTCATCATGAAGCAGCAGCAGACGCCGGATAGGCAGCGAAAGGAGCAATGCAAACTGAAGTCATTAACCAGGCCCGTGGCTGTGCCGCAGCACAGCAGACCCCCGATGCCAACGATGTAGACGCGACGTGGACTGAGCACACGCATCAGCCGTGTGGCCACCACGCCGCCGACGAACATGCCGAAGAGATGCCAATACTGGGACCATGCCACAAAGATGTCGCACAGACAGACCAAGTTGAATTCCATGATTAGCGAGCGAAAGGTGTGTGCATAGCTGAATTGCAGGCACTGTCGCATCGCATAGTTGGCCTCGCCGTATGCGACCAGCACATAGCACTGATCCTCCGTGACACTCGTGTTCTCTGCGCCGCCATAGGCGCTCGTGTCACACCAATACTCCTCACCGGGATACAGCTCGGGTGCGGTAAATATTATAAGAGCCATAAACCAGGCAGCCGGTAGCTTGCACAGAAAGATGATCAGCACGGAACGCAGCTGAAAGATGCCGAAGTCACCCAGCACATGCGAGATGACATCTCCAACTGGAGTCTGTGGCAGCTTCTCCTCCTCCTCCTGCTGCTGCTTAGCATCCTGGCTGCTGTATATATGGCTTAAGCGGGCATGTGCCTCCGGCGTGGGCGTTGGACGACGCTTGTTCCACTTGGCCTCGGCGGGACTGTAGCCTTCGTGCATTCTCACATATATAGAATCGAGTAACCACGTCTTACGAGCTTCGAACCTCCAGCATAACTGCGACTTCGCTTGAGCTTGGCGCTGCCATCAAAAAGTCTGAACAATTGCCGAGCAGGGCCCGCAGCAGGTGCTAGGCGACGATATCGTCGCTAATCAAATTGTCACTGAAATTTATTTCAGATGTCCGACGATAGCAAATATTGAACTCTGCCTAAACGATTATGTCAATAGGTGATTCTATTTTTCTTTTCTTTTTCGTTTTTGTTTGGTAAGGTTTTTCACTAATGTTAATAAGTAAAGAGTACACAAACTTTTGGCAGGGACTGTTTAGCAACTAATGAAAAGAACAAATTCACGTGACGTCCTTTGACGAGTCGATATAGCCCTATTAGTTAGCTTCAATCTTGGACCTATATGTGTCAGAGATTTGCAATTGATGCTTGGTAGGTTTTCAAGATATATAAACACAGGATATAAAAGATATAGACATCTCACTAGAGAACTTTTACTAGTTTTCATTTGAATGAATAACTAAAGGTTTCTCCACTTGAACACTTTTTAACATCTACAAGATAAGTTTTGACTATCTTTATACATTAAAATTAATAAGTTTATAGACCTTAAAGTGTATATTAGAATCATTTAATAAAACCGTTTATAAGGATAGGATACGAACAGTGCTTAAAGCCAGTCGCAAAACACTGTTTGAGGCAGACCAAGATTATTTAAGCGTGCTCAAATCTCGTTTAGCCAAGACGCGAACCCAGTATTTTTTATTCAGCGCCATCTAGTGGCTTAGTAGCGTAATTGCAGTTTAATAACAGTTTAACATTTTATTTGAAATTGAGAAATAGTTTAAAAATGAAAAAAGAACTTGAAAATAAATTTTTTATTTAATTAATAAATAAATAATTATTTAAGTAATACATTTTTAATATTTACTAATTGTTCAAGCTAAGCTGGCAGCTGCCAGGCAAACAATAACATGAATTTATTTTATATTATATATTTTAAATAAATATCTATAATAATTAAATTAGAACAAGTCTAAGCTTAGTCTAAGGTTAGTCAAAGAAGCGACCACGCCAAAACTTATGTAAGCTCCGGCAGAAAACAGTTACGTGTGTGTTATTTACGACGCGAAGTTGAAGTCTGGACGTCATTTAAGAGTTTGCGAAAAACTTGTTTTCATAGGACAGGCAGTTGGTGGAAGCTTTTCACTTTCATTGTAACAACAACAATAAGCGAAGCTGAGCAAACGCTGTTGCTGCAGTTGCAACCGGAGAGAGCAAGACGCATTGCAAACAGTTGCATTCGTGCCACCACAGTGGCCACAACGCGATGGAGGCCCACTTGGATATCTACAAAGATGCAGTCGTCTTCATAACGGGCAAGTCTTGGCTCTTGAATCACTCAATTATTTGCGGTTTCTATTTGCCTCAGTCGCTTCTCTTCGCTAGGTGCCACTGGCTTCGTGGGCAAAGCTCTGCTGGAGAAGTTGCTCTGGAGTTTTCCACAGATCAAACGCATCTATATGCTGATCCGCGCCAAGGCTGGTGTCTCGCCCGAGCAGCGCTTCCAGAATTTCCTGCAGAATGACATTTTTCAGCGTTTGCGCAGCTCGTTTCCAGAGCGCCTTAAGAAAATCGCGTTTTTTGCGGGCAACATCGAGGATGATTATTTTGGTAAAACACAAGTTTCGAGAGTGACAAGAAAACGGCCTCAAAAGTTTCCTCGTTTTCTATTTAATTTCAACAGGTTTGACTGAGCGGGACAGAGACGAGCTTTGCGCAGAGGTTAACATTATTTTTCACAGCGCCGCGACAGTAAGTTCCAGTTTGATACAGCCCATTCATATATATCTATATATATATAGACAATCTTTGCTCCCAGGTGCGTTTCAATGAGTGCCTCAATGTGGCAGCTCGCGCCAATTCGCTGGCCACCTATAATTTGTTGGAGATGTGCACACAAATGAGGCAGCTGCAGGTAAGTGGCTAGCTAGACTTAAGGCTCAAGCTGACCATTGCATTGCTGGCTCTTCTCCTTGAGTGAACTGGATTGGCATCAGCCATAGCTGGCAGCGTTGAGCCCCAAGCTTTGCAATAATTAATGTGATTTTCCAGTTCCTAGTTTCCATTAGCTTAAGTTAGTTATATTTTCTAAATTATTCAATATAAAGGAATGCGTTTTATATGCTTCGTATTTATAATCAATCTGAACATTTTTTATGTATTGCATTTTCCTAGTATAACTTATAAAATAAACATAGAGATTTGATTTCAAATACTTCATAAAAGTTCAGAGACTACAAGCAGCTATTTATTAATTATTAATAACTCCATAAACATCTGTTAATATTATATATTTGCTGAACATATCGTTTATATTTACTTTCCAGCGTTTTCTGTACGTTTCCACTGCCTACTGTAATCCAGGTCGCAAATATGTTGACGAGTGCATTTATGCCACACTGCCGCCTGTGGATTGGCGGCAGTTTCTTAGCGCCATCAAAAAAATACCCGAGAACTATCTGAATCGGCTGGCCAACTATATAAAGGGCCCGCACGTGAACACCTACACGTTCACCAAGTCGATAGCGGAGCAGATTGTTAACTCCTACAGGCACCTCATCCCCATTGTCATAGTGCGACCCTCGATTGTGACGGCCGCCTATAGGGAGCCGTATCCGGGCTGGATCGACAACATACAAGCGATCAGTGGCATCATGATGGAGATCGGCAAGGGCGGCATTAGCAGCATCTTGGGGGATAAGGATCTGATTTGTGATATTATCCCAGTGGATTTTGTGGTCAATGCAATGATCATGATGGTGCACAAAGCGGAGCTGGGCAGGTAAGTTGCTCCAAGGGAAACTTGAAAGATCCATGCAGAGTAATTTGAGCTTTTACCATTCAGCATCAGCATTTGCAATGCCACCTCAGGCGCCACGAATCCCATCAGCTGGCAGCGATTGGGTGAACTGACCATGAAATGGTCACGCATATATCCCACCAGGCGCATGATTATGTTTCCCAACTTCAAGTATCGTCGCGGAGCCGTGCGGCACGAGCTAGCCGTGTGGATGCTACACTTTGTGCCCGCCTTGCTAATGGATCTGCGCACCCTAGTGCTGGGCTCCAAGCAGCGCCTTGTGACGCCCATAGCCAAAAAGTTTAGACAGGCCTGTCTGGCGGGTACTTGACACAATCGCACCCCAAAGAGCGGTCTTAAATCTGTCTCCTTGCTTTCAGGCAGCTTCTTTTCGCTGAATGAATGGATATTTAAGAATCGCAGTCGATTCTACTTCAAGCAGCTGATTGACAATGGCACCTTTGCCGAACTCTATTGGAACTTGGATGAGCTCGACTACGACGACTATGTCAGGCGTCATATGATAGGCATCAATAAATATTTACACCGCGAAAAGTTTACAGTGGATGCCAATAAAATGCAGGTGACCAGGTGAGTTCTATAAACTGCAAGTGACGATGGCATTGAGTTTCAGGAAAATATTTCATGAAATCTTTCCGTTTCGTTGATTGCTTGCAGAATCTATTGGTTCTGGATGTTTGCGCATCTGTGCTTCTATATGATCCTGGTCTATATACTACTCTAATCAATCAATAATAAAGCCTTTCGCTTTTAACTAATCACAGAGAATTGAGTTTTATTACCTTAACAATAAAAAAAAAACAAATTTGTGGAGTTGTTGCTCTGAGTTGGAGCTTCATAAGCGCGTATTGTGCACATCCGATTCGATGGTCCAAATGGCCGCATTTAAGGGCGACTGCGACTTCCTGTCCTGCTGCTGCTCTGACTCCAGCTGCGGCACCACAGGCACTGTACTGAAGCGAGGCGTGAGCAGCAGGCAGGTGCAGATGCCGCCCAGAATACTGAAGACGCTGTAGGAGGTCAGCGACAGGGCCGTATCAATCCGTTTAAGTACATTGAAGAACGGTGCGGAAAGCAGCCAGACCCGTGCCCAGGTGACTACCGAGAAGACAAAGAGCTGTTTCTGGTGCGGCGGCACCAGCTCGTTCATGCAGGCCAGGAGCATGGACTGGGCACAGGACACAGCTGCTTTGGGTATCGTCGCAATGATCATCCATAGCGACACCTTCAGCGCAGCATCCACTGTGGAATGGAGAAGAATTAGCTAAGATTGGGTTACGGAAAGGGCTATGCTCCTTCACTCACTGGAGTCGGCGCCCGTGAACAGCCATCCCATGCAGCCCAGCATGCCAGCGAGTATATTGAAGGTGCCAGCGTATTGCCATTTCCATTTGTTGTGCTTCAGCGTAAAGTGCAGGGCCAAGAAGCAGCCAATGATCTCGGAGAAGCCTGAAAAAGAAACGTTAATAAATGGCCGCAGCCGGAGTCGGACGTTGTTCAATGCCTCACCCATGGCTATGGTGTTGGGCACCAGATAGTCGCGACCAAAGGATCTTATATTCAACAGCATGCCCATGAAATTGATCACGTAGAATGCCAAGGACAGGTGGGCAGCGACCATGTGCGTCTTGGCCCGCTTGCCGTGCCAGAGCTGTGGCCAGTGTGCGTGGGGAGCTGTTTTCAGCTTTTCACTGAGTTCCTCCAGCTGCTGACGGAAATTTGGCGGTATTTTATAGCAACGATCGTTTATATCCACGCCCTGACGCACTATCTGCTCCACATTATCGATTGCGTGGCTATCAGCCGCGTGTCGCAGCAGCCAGCGTGGCGAATCGGGTGTCCAGTACAGCAGCACAATCAACATTATGGTGGGAAATGTTATGCCCACATATATGAGGGACCAGCTGTTGAAGAAAGATGCCAACGTGGGCAGCATGATGACACCAATGGACCAGAACGTGTCGTAGAGTATGATGGCGCCTATGCGATGCATTCCAGCAGTAATGTCCGCGACTGCAGGCAGAGAAGCAGAAAAGGATATTTAAATTTCACTCTCTACATGTTACTAAATTTCCCTAATTTCCCTAATTAATTCATCGGGAAATTTCCAAAAAATTGGCAAGTTGTGAGTAAATGTGGGGAAAAAAGGGAAATTTAAAAGAAACCGAATCTTGCGACTAAGGGAAATTCGAAGAGAAATTCCGTGGTTAAGCTTGTTGAATGCAGAACAAAGTCAATTTTGAAATAAGATTTAATTTAAGACGCGAAATCCACTATGAAGAAAGTCGCTCTGATCCAAAAGACGAATTCAATTGAAAGAAACTACAAAGTGAAATGGACTTACGTAACTTAACTTTAACTTACATATGGTTTGTCCGGCGGTAAACATAATGGCACAGCACACTGCCGAGAGGCAGCGGAATGCGCAGTGCAAGCTAAAGTCCGTTGCGTAGCCGGTGATGACTCCACACACGATTTGAGCTATGGCACCCACGCAGTAGGTGCTCCGCGGACTGATGGCCAGCATCATCTTGGTGGCCGTGATGCCGCCAATGAGCACGCCAAACAGATGCCAATACTGAGTCCAGGCAATGAAAATATCTCGCAAGCAGACCAGATTGAATTGCATAATCAGGGAGTCAAAGCTCGATACGTAATTAAACTGTGCGCATTCGCTGCGACTGCCTGAGCTCTCATCCAGCACATAGCATTGGTCATCAGAGACGTTGTAATTGGAGCTGGAGCTGCTGTTCAGGTAGCTGGTGTCGCAAATGTATTCCGTGCGAGGATACAGCTGCGGCGCGGTGAAGATGATGCAGGCCATGAACCAGGCGGCAGGTATTTTGCACAGGAAGATGATGAGGATGGTGCGCAGCTGCCAGATGCCGAAGTTGCCAACCACATCGGTAATGATGTCGCTGCCGGGATCAGCTGGGGCAGCACTTTCATCCTTTGGGCGGTTCTGTGAGCAGTGTCTGCCTGTCTGGGGGCTGGGCATGGGCGAATGACCGCCGAGAGCCTGAATTGTGGATGCCTGGTTAACCATTTCTGCGCAGCTCTGTTCGATTCAGTCTAGCACATTTTCCGCTTTGACCACGGCCACGGGAGCTCTGTGAATGACAAATCGAACGGCGACAAATGCCATCAGTTGCTCTGCGTGACACATTGTTTTCAATTATTTATTTTATTTATGGATAAATATTAACATACGATATACTATGAAAACATTTGTCCAAGCCACCCCACCCAACCGCCGCTCAATTGAAATCAATTGAAAGCGATTACAGCTGAAATCAGTTGCCTTTCCACGACAGACGGCATTGAATAACATGCCAAATTCGTCAAATGCCAGCGCCTCGAAATTCGATTCCGTTTCGGCAGTTCGATTTGCCCCTTTGAGCGGCAAATTTGTGCATTTGCATGACTTTGTCATTTGAAACAATAAAAGTTGAAAGTGCTTGAAATCCCAAAACCAAAAGCCTAAAAAATGTCTATGCTAAATATATAAACTAATATAATATAGATTGACGGAATTTGTTGGACAACTTGGCACCAAATATTTGAGCTTGAAATTCGAAAACCAAAAATCTCAAAAATATCTTTAATAAATATACAAACTAATATATGTATATATATACTATGACATAGATTGACACAATTTATTGGACAATTTGACAGCATTTATACTCAGTTATTTATGCTTCAGTCCTGATTTAATTACTCAAGATATTTTTTTTATTGCATCTTTAATTGTATCACATATCATTATCATATATCCATATATTTCTAAGTCGGCTGCAGTATTTACTCATGTTTTCTGTAGTTTTCTTGATTATTTAATGACTTTCTGGATCTACCGCAATCTGAAAAAGCTTAGCAACTTTTTTTGATATCCTATACTATATTTTCTCATTTTATTTATTTTAGTGCCATATTAAAATGTGCTTTAGCACATATATAACGACTTTATCGCGACTTTTATTGTTATCTGAATCATAAGAGTAGTCTGCGCCATATATTTGTCAAATATAAACAAGATACGTTATGGCTGCCCTGTAGGGCCTTCGTTATCTACCAACTAAGAAAACTGTTGAGTTGACTTAAATCTTTTATATATAATTTTGATATTTGCTCGATAATATAGATAGACCCCTTGGTTGATGTCCACGTTAATTTAACAAATTTGCAAGTATTCTCTTGTCGGATATATCTATTTGAGGTGCTAATTTCGACTGATCCAACAACCTGAGTGGCTAATTGTCAAGTGGAGCATATGCCACGGAACACTGCCCTCGGGGCTCAGACATCTGGCAGCCGTCGCCGCTGGGCGTGCAAATATTTTAATTTCGAATTCAAGCGTTAGTGCTAATTGCAGCGGGTAGTCGGCAACGGGTATACGAAACTGGTTCCCCAATATTTCATACTTAAGTTTTCCATATAAATTACAATTGGCACTTTTCAATACAGCGGGGGCAGCAGTTTCATTTAGTTGAACTACTCGTTGTGCAAATGCAAATTAATTAATGCTGATATAAAAGGGGGAGGAGGGTCTGGCAGGTGGATTGGGTTGCAGTTTATTAATGCTTTGTTTTGAATATTTTATGCTAAATTTATAAGCCGAGCCAATTCCAGTTTTTAATTTCCTTAAGTGGAGCAAGGCATGTATAGAGAACCAGAAACAGAACAAAATTTGTAAAGGCAGTGCAAATGTGTCAGCAAAGCTGGCAAATATAAAAACTAAAGCTATTGCGGCTGTAGTACCTAAGTCAATATACAAAGCTACAAAGCACTTAGCTCTAATTATTATAAGTATATATATTATAAGTATATGTAATAAAATGTTTGAGTTATGGCGCTTTAAACAGTTTACAATAAGGTTGAATAAGAAAATTATAAATAAATTAATATATTAAGTGAATACTCTTTTTATACCCTGATCCCTCCGAAAATGGGAAATAATGGTTTTGTGCAAATGTATGTAACAGTCAGAAGGAGGCGTGGCATACCCCATAAAGTATATATATTCTTGATCAGGACGACAAGCCGAGTCGATTGAGCCCCGTCTGCCCGTCCGTCTGTCCGTATGTGTACTAGAGACTTGAATTTTTCTGTAGGTCCGTGTATAGCACGCGTATATTCAGTTTGTTTTAAACATTCGATAGCTATTTTCATTTAATTGTTATGGAATAAAAACATGATCGAATAGCAATTAAATTATATCTCGGACGTCTTAAAAGTTGGAGCCTCCAAATTTTGTATTTAGTTTTATGTATGTTTTGATTTTTGTTGGATGTTGGATACCTGCTCTGAATTTCCCCAAATTCTTCAAATTTAAGTTCAGTTGGAAGTAGAGCCAATAAGTGAAGGAGTTTGCATTTCTACCAAGCCAATAGAATATGTAGATCGTATGCTGAATATTTCATTAAAATCCATTAGGCAAAACAGAAGTTATTAAATCAATTTGCAAAAGCACATGTCAGCAGCGCCAAGCGCACGCATTTTTCCTATACGTGTGCACACACACATTCAAATGCGTGTATTCTTCTCTATTCGAAGAATCGAAATTGCGATGGAATTGTGCTGAATAGTCAGCTGCTACTTCACTTCAAATTTGCAAGTTATTGTGCAGGCAGAGCAACAATCTCTGGTTTCGAGCCTGGCGGCGAAGGGACGTTTTCTATTATTTTTTATTTTTTAATTATGATGTGGTGGTGTTGATGCGCGTTGCGTAGACAATGTGGGTTCGAATCTTGCTGTCGTAATGTCGATTTTTATTTATACTTTTTTTTGAATACTCGATACAAACTACGGAAAATATTAAAACACACAGATAGCACTGGGATCAGGGTATCTCCTAGTCGGGCGACCCGACTAGAGCTTTCTTACTTGTTAATAAATAACCCGTCAAATACAATTGTCGCTTGCGAAGATATACTAAAGGAAAATTTTACTTTTGTTTTTTAGTAAATAAAATAATATTTTATTTTGAAATATTTGACATAAACATGATCATAAAAATATATATAGAGAGAGAGAGAAAGAGAACACTGAGAGTCACTGTTAAAAGGAAAAGGTTCAAGAAATCTGGTGAGTTGTGTAATATTTGCCAGCTCTTCAAATTAGGGGAAGGCTTGATTTTTATATAGTTTATTTAAATAATTTGCATATTTTATAATCGTAGCTCACTTTCTGTACGCGCTTGTCAATTAACACCAAGCCTTCGTCACTTTATAACGCTGAATTTTCTGCAGCTTGATATGGCAATGTCGCTTCTGTTTGTATACAAATTAATCTCAGTCTATTGAACGCAAATAAACAGTTGTGTATGTTCAATCGGATCGCTTGTGGAGTCTGCTTTAATTTGCTTGTTGCGCGCTTTTTTATGTATCGCTCGAACGTCTCAATCGGTCGAGAAGCGGAATCGAACTGAACCAAGTTACACACGAGTTGCCATATCGAAGTCGTCGTCAATGGCGTGCCGATTGCCGCAGCCCCAATCGGCGTTAATTTTCTTAATGAATTTGCTCAAATAATTAAAAGCCATTGTTAGGGAAACTTTAACCGAAACATTTCCGATCCAACTGGCCGCAGCAGATGTCCTCCTGGCATCGGGCAGACACCTCCTGTTTTAACAGGATAGTATTACTAGTATTGCATTGTCCCATAATTTCCGCACTTAATCAATACAATTCTGGTTTCAATAATAATGCACTTGGCACGATTGCTGTTGTCTTGTCCACAGTTTAGATTCTAAAGCTATCTATACTCAAGGGGTCAGAATGCCGCTATTGCATCTATCGTTCTATTATGGCTGGCTGATAAAGACACTTTTCTAATTGCCCTGCCATCTTCTACTACGTCGGGTTTTCTATTTTAATCTTTATGGTAGCTACCTGTCGCAATTCGCACTTGCTTAAGCCAAATGACACACTCGCTCGCATTTACTTGCTGACACAGAAAATTCTTTTTTTTTTCTGTGTAAATAGGGCCTGCGTTTTGTATAGCTTTATAAATAAAAATACAAAAATCAGCTAAGGAAATTGGTGTATATGCAGAAATGCAGAAATGCAGAGTTCAAAAATGGCACAATTTAGTGTCGGCTCTATAAAAAATGATGGATTTAACAAAAATAATAAAAATACTAAAGTAATAAATAACTTTGATAAAATAATAATATAATATTTTATATTATATTATATAATATATATAATCCATTTTAAACATTAAAATAAAATTAAATTCGAATAGAAAATTAGGTAAAAATTAAATATATAAATATAAATATATAAAATCAATTAGGAAAGATTTAAACATTTCTTAAATAGGACTAATATTTCAATGTGCCATAAATATGTTTTTACTAATCATAGCAATTCTTTATGTGATGGCAAAAGTTGTATAGGATATAATATTGATCATTTGTTATCACATTTTATATCTTTCTATATATCTTTTATTTTTCTAGATATGAATGAACTAGTTAATAATAGATGATTGACACAACAATAACAATAGATCAATGTGCACGTAATTTTTATAGCCTATATCAAGTTATTTATAACCGTATTCATTTTTAGACATGAGAGACAGAGCAAAGTCTGTGAAGACACTTGTAATACTTTTGGCAAGATTTGAAATAATTTAAAGCAGTTCGAGCTGTTGACAATTCGATCATCACGCGCTTTATTTATTTTATAATACTAATCGAATTCATATATCGCACATTAGTTTAACAATAATGAAATATAATGAAAGTAATTCTATTTAATTCAATTAGCATTGAATTGACGCAACATTTTATGGATAGACAGACAGAAAGCCGCAATTTCAATCCACTGACCCGAATGAAATCTGTATGCAAATCAGTGTGAAGGGCGGGTCTTCAATACATTTATTGCTAATTACTAAATAAATATATCTATTATAAAATGTCTACAACGAATGCGCCTATAATATTTTATCGCCTAATCTGTTGTAAAAACTGTTGCCTACTTTTAGGCGGGGCATTAAAATTCAAATGCTGTGCATGCTCTGCGCTTTGTTTGCCCCCTCGCTGTCTTCGTTCATGCTATCACATTCATGGATCGTATGGAAGTTGATGTGCCACAGATCCGCTATACTAACGGCGACTGTTTGCTCAAAATTGTGGAGCAGCTCGTTGCTGTAGTTGCTCACATCGGAGCTGGCGGTGCTGCAACGTCGCAAGATAACAGCTGAGTTCCTACGATAGGTGTTTGGCGTGGGCACCTGACCCACCTGCAGCTGTTCCGTATTCCAATAGTAGCGATTGAGCAGCCGCATAAACAGACCATACACCCAGCCCACTGTCGCAATGATGGTAATGGGCAGCAGGCGATGCACCACAGTCAGCGTACTCAGTAGCGGCGAGAACACCAAGCAGAGTCGGCCAAAAGTAACCACCGAGAGCATGAGCAGCGCTCGCTTTTCTGGCGAGACCATTTCGCCTGTGCACGTGGTCAATACAGCTATGGAAGCAGAATTGGCAAACTTCAGCAGCATCCAAAAGATGAGCTCCAAGCCGACGCGGCGAGAGTTGCGGTCTAAGGAAGCGGATATTATAGATAACTAATCGATAGATGTGAATATACCCCCACCTGTCTCTGGCAGCATCCAAACCAGATAAGTGCAAAGTCCTGCCATTATCATCAGATTGCCCGCCCAGCGAAAATAGCGACGTGTGTAGAGTATGAAGTAGAGACCCACAAAGACGCCCACCATTTCGGCAAAGCCCAGAGCGGCGGTATTCACATGGACCTGCGCCTCGCCCAGGCTGCGAATCATGAGCAATATTATGTTGTACAGCACCTGAGCACAGCCCCAGATCAGGTGTATGAATATCAGTTGGCGACGTTTGGTCTCCTTATCCCAGATCTGACAAAAGCCGATGCGCTGTTTGGCGTTCAGCTCGCTGGCATAGATAGTCAGTCTGACGTCCAAAGTAAGGGGCACCATGCGATTGTTGTGTGTGGCTGACTCCAAGAGTAAACGCAGTGCTGGCTCTATGCGTTGGTGGCGTAGCAGCCAGCGTGGCGCATCCGAGATCCAGCGATGCAGCCAGACGAGCACAATCAGCGATGAGGATATGGCCACATATAGATGGCTCCAGTTATCGAAATATATGGATATGGCGGGCAGCAGCACCAAGCCAATTGACCAAAAGAGCTCCGATAGAGTAACGACCAAGATGCGGGCTTTGCCCGAGGTAATATCCATTACTAGTGAAACAAAGAGCTGAGCGCGTTTGTGTCTTAAGTCTTTTGTTTTTGCTTACATATGAAATGGCCGGCTGAGTACATGAGCGTGCAGCAGACGGATGTGAGGCAACGGAAATAGATGTGCAGCTGATAGGTGTCCACCAGACCCGTCAGATTGCCACAAAAGATCTGTCCCAGCATGCCGAGCAGCATCAAACGTCGTGGACTGATGCTGGAATTGGAAAGTTGGCAGATGACTTAAGGATCTGTGGAAGAGACACGCAGGACTCACTGTTGGAGTGCTTGATAAGCGAGAAGCCCGCCAATTAGTGCCCCGAGCGCATGAAAAGATTGGGTGACCGCCACCAGCACACGACGCGAGCAGATCAAATCAAAGTCAACGATCAACGACTTGTACCCCGCATGATGCTCAACGCGTTCGCAGGGCATCGCCTGCAGTGTTCCGTTCCAACTTTTTCCGTAACGCTGCACAAAGTTATGGGACAAGCTTTGGGCATAGGCATTGCACACCTGCACGCTGAACAGCCGATCCGTATTTCGACTCTCACTGGGCAGCGACTCGCTGGCATTCCAGCTAGATGAGCGACACACCAGCTCCCCGCGCTGCGGATATGGCGCTGTATAAATGATGCAGGCCATGAACCAGGCCGTGGGTATTTTGCATAGAAAGATTAGAAGAATCGTGCGTAGCTGCCAGCGCCCGAAGCTCCCATTGATATGCTGCACAATGTCAACGCCAGGTGGCGGCACAGAGGATCTGCGTCGCTTACAGATCATCTCGCTAGGTGTCATCGTCTTTAGTGACCGAAACTAGCACGCGCACTGAGCTCTCGGGCCTCATTTCCCTCGATGAGGAAAAAAATGCGAGTTTGTTTTTGCTGTTAGCTCAACGGGAGCGACAAATTGGTGCAAATTAGTTGCGGAGACGATACGAAAATATGTTGCATCGATTGGAGAATAATTGTGTTTATTTGTATACCCTGTTTGCATAGTGAAAAAGGGAGTATTCGGTTGTTCTGCCACTCAAATTGGGATACACGCATATTCAAGACAACTTTGAGTTTCAGCAAAATTGTTTGCTACTCCCGTGATTTGCTTTGTTACTTCAAGCAGCGTATTGCGCAGTCAGGTAGACCCATCCATTACGTTTTTCCAAGTATTATTCGCTTTGTTTTGTTATGACGTAAAGGCTTAAGCAAATAACATTGGATAAATAAGGAATTTACTTAAGTAATAAAATGAATATAATATTTTCTATTTACAGGATGTGTCTGGGAAAGATGTAACAAAAGCTAGAATATAATGGAACCAAAGGTGATAATTGAAATGCTATTTACATCCAATATGTAAATAAAATCAGTGATATTTGGCTAAGGTTCCAAAGGCAGGCTGAAACTTTAGTAACAATTTAAGAAAGGAATAATAGACAATATAATTTTATTATAAGCTATTGAATTTATTCATTTTGACCTGCATTTTTTCATGTATATATATCATATATATATATATATATATATATATATATATATATATACATATATATATATATATATATATATATACATATATATATATATATATATTTTCTCTCATGCCCAAAAGTCTGCCTCGCTCTGTTTGCTTGCCTTGTTAGAAAATCGTGAAACTTCAAATAGTTCAGACAAACATTTGCTTACATTTTCCGCCAAGTCATCTTGGTTATTTATTTATTATTTTAATCTTGTTCGTTTTTGTTGCTATAAAATGGCACAAATCAGATGTCGCCTTACTATATATACGCAGGTTATGTTTGAGCCGATTTTTATTATTTATATATATTTATATATATATATATGCATTGGCTCATGTTCATTGAATTCTTGGGATTTACAATTTTCGTTTATAATTCATAATTCGTTGGTTTTGCGTTGAACAAGGTTTTGTTTTATTTTTCTCAAATTTGTTGCAAATTCAATAAATCGTTTATATTTTTTTCAATCAATTATTGTCTTAAATAATTATGCCAGCTAATAATATTTTAACGGTTCACAAATAATATTCATTGTAAAAAATTATTTATTCAAAATTAAAAACTTAACTATAATATTATTTTTATGTGTATGTTTTTTATGGTATTTACATGTTGAGCTAAATAATTAAATAAGATAAATGCATTTTTGGATCGAAATCAATTTTTGTTTTTGTTTTTCATCAGAGCTATGCACTAAATGTAGATTTGGCTTTACGTAACAAAAGTTATCAATTACAAAAAAATAATTAAGTATAATTAATTAATTAATATATAATATATATAATAATATTACAACTAAATTATGGCGTGTAGTTCATGCGCTGAGTGTTTTTAAATAATAATATTATTTACTGGTAGGATACTTAGCTCTATTTACAATATACGAGAGTGTATGTGTGGTTGGGGAATACGACCTATCAGCAAGGAGTGTAATTAGTTTGTATGTTTGTAAGTAGGATATCTACCAGCTTCTTATGACTACAATCTGAAGTGCTGCACGTGCGTACAGAGAGTTTTGTTACATTTATGAGAGCTGCTAATATTTTTGCTGTATTTATAATTAGGTTTGCTTTTTGATTGAGTTTATGTATATATGTATCCATGTATATATATATATAGTAATTCGATCTTTTGTTTATGATAATTGTTAACATTATGCTTAAACACTAGGTTAAAGTCCTTTGTTTTGTTTTTCTTTTTTCTACTGCATCATTTATGCTTTCCGCTCGCTTTTCGCTACTTCCTTCTGTTGGTTGAAGAGGATTTGCGTTTCTTATCAACTAAATGCTAGATATTAATTTTTGGTTTTCAAGATCCGTTCAATGATCCGTGCTCAGCGCATCCTCTATGTTGCTATCCCAATTGAATTCCGTAACGCCCTGCTTGTAAAATATATTTCCCAGATTAGCAAAGCGTTGCGCAAAATTGGCATCTTTTGCTTTCAGGTGCTCAAAGCTGAAAAAGAGAAACGAACAGAGTTTTTGTTTAGCAAAGCATTTAAATAATGTTTGTGTCTAACCTATCAATCATGCATAGACTAATAATTTATAGTAATATATGTATAATATATTCAAGATCTCAATCTTTGTTTTAATCTGTAGTTAAATACATTTATTGAAACAAAGCTTAACCTTTCCCTTCTTATGTTTATTTCTAGATTTTTCTGTGGCATATAATATAAGAGTATGCTCTTCCTTATAAGCAGTTAAGTCCTCGTGCGACAATTGCTTTTCAGCTAAAATCCTTTATAAGGAATTCTATTATATACAACGTAAGCTACCTGCAGCTAAATACCTGACCCACAGTTGGTGAACCTCAACAAAATTTCTATGTAAACTGAAAAGTTTTGTTTAAGAAAACATTTGTAGTAAGATGTAGAACGTGCTCAGAAACAAACATTTATGGGTATGAGTCTTTTGAATACAGCATAGGTTACATACTGTACCCTATTTCGAAAAGTTTGTAGTAACCAAGCCAACTTTTCATTTTTACAAGCAGAGGCCACGCTCGAGTTACACAAAATCAAAAGGTAGAAATACGATTGGTTGGGTTTGAGAACTTTCTTAACCAATTCAACCCTCTGTCCCATGTTTACTTTGCTTTTTATTTATTATGTACTTTTTGGTCTTCCCAATAAAGTCTGCCTGGTGGTAAGTAAATCCTCAAGCCAAATCAAAACCCAATTGTTGCTGCAGCTGTGCTCAGTGCAGCTGTATAATTAGAAGCGAGGAGAAAGAGGAAGAAGCGCACGCAGTGTACCTTGGCATAGCCCAGAGCCATTGTTGCCGCATAATGTCAAAGGTCATCATCAGCGGCAATTGTACAATGCAGAACCTGAGCACGAACCCGAACAAAAACAAGAAAGAGAAAACCCAAGACAAAAGGCGACAGGCAACAGATTTTACAGCAGTACCTTGAAGGAAAAACCCCTCGAGTTCGAGCTCTAGACTTTTACAGAAGCTTGTTAATTGTTGTTGTTGTTGGTGTTGTGTGCCCACCCTTAAGCCACGCATGCGCAGCTGCACAGCTGCTGCGCCTCGAGCCGCATCCGTTCCGCCTGAGGAAGTGCCAAGAAGGAAGTCGCAAGTCCGAAAAGTTCCCATTGACTGCTTCGTCTTTTTTTCTTTGGTTTCGCCTTTGCTTTTCAAAGAGGGTTGGAAAAACTTGTGACAGGAAATCAAAACGAGTTTTCTAATTGTTGTAGTTGCAGCAAAGCACATCATGTATTTCATATATAGTATATATGTGTATAGAGAGTGTTGGGTGTTTTCTTAACTAATTTATAATTTATTGTTAAAAAATTTAGCCTAAAGTTGGATTTGTCGTGAAATAGAGTCGAAACATTTGCCTACATATTTCGCGCCTTGAGCACTTGCTTCTGGGGCGGACTGGGCATGTTCTCTTTGCCGCTGGCGAAGATTAACGATTTCTTCGGTGTGCTGGCCGCGGATCGAGGCGTGCGTGGCGTACGCGGACTGTGAGGTGTGCGCGGCGTGCGAGCCTTGGGCGATTTGCAGGCGAGCAGCTCGCTGAGCTCGTTGTTGTTGTCCTGTCGGACACTCTTCTCGGAGGAGTTAAGCAGCCACGAGGTGATCTTGTCGCATTCGGCACGCAGCTCCGAATCGATCAGCAAGTCCTCAATCTTCTCCAGATCTGTGGTATTCGGCTTGTTCGCCTTGCTGGGCGTCAGCATAGCCACCGTGGGTTGTTGCTTGGACTTCAGTGCAATATTCTCGAGTTTGAGCTGTTCGCACTCTTCACGCACCTTGACCAAGAGCTGGTCCTTGTTGTCCAGCTCCAGTTGAGCAAACTGCAGCACCGTGGCAAACTCATCCAGGGCCTTCTTCATGTCCGCCATGTATAGCTCGCGCGTCTCATCCTTGCGCTTCAGATCGCTGTACATGTCGCAGTAGTGGGCCATCTGGGCATCCCCGTCGATGCGCTCCTGGAACGAGTTAGCAATCTTATTGAATTTGGCCAGGGTATCCGATTCACTAGCTAGCAGCTCATGCAGCATGGACTCTTTCAACGATACCTCCTGCTGTAGGGTCACCGAGGAGCTGCGCACTGCCTCGAGCGCCGTCTGCGAATCATTTAGCTGTTGGCGCAGCTGTGTCGCATCCGCTTGCAGCGTCAAATAGCTCTGCTCCAATGCGCCCTTGGCCAGCTGCACCGACTCCAGCTCCGCCTTGAATTGCTCAACATCGGCATCGGACTTCTTGAGGCGCTCCATCAGTATGTTGACCGTGGATCGTGTATTGTTCAGAGTCAGCTGATAGTTGTACTTCTCGGTGATGGTCTTGGCCATGTCCTGCTTGAGCTGCACCAGCTGCTGCTGCAGTGTATCGCTCAGCTGGATGTAGTAGTCGATGCCGTTGCGCAGCTGCTCTTCGCACTTCTGCAGCTTCTCGTCGCGCTGGCGCAGCATATCGTTGGTGGTCTCCAATAGCACCATCACATCCTGCTTCTCCAGTTCGATCTTGATCAGTTCGTTCTCGGCCAGCTTCTGTCGTTTGTCCAGCTCGGCACGCCAGTAGCACTTCTCACGCTCCACAGCGCTCTCCAGCTCATTCTCCACCTGCTGATGGGCCTGCTGCTGTTCGGTGTGCTTGGCCTGCTCCTGGCACAGCTGGCGTATGGTGTCGCAGTGTGCATCGATCTCGCACGACTTGTCCAAGAGCTCGTCCTGCAGCGAGCGTATCAGCGTGCACTTGTTGGCCAAATCGTTCTTCAGCGTGTTGCGCTCGACACGCAGACATTCGAGTTCCGTCTGACTGATCTTTGTTTCCTGGCCATAGGCTAAGGCATCCTGTTCAATCTGTTGTTTCAGCTGCTCCACATTCGCCAGCACCTCGGCATTCTTTGCCTGCAAACTCTCGATCAGCTCCAAGTGCTGTGTATTTTGCTGCTGCTCCGCAGTGCAGTTCTCGCGCGCCTTGGTGACCTCTTCTTGGAGTGTACCGAGCTGTTGCTCCAGCTGCTGCTGTACCGTCTGCTGCTGCTCGCAGGTCTGCTGCAGCTGCTCGTTGGCCAGCTTGTAGGCCTCGTTCTCGGCCAGCATACGCTCCACTTGCTGCTCGTGCTGTTCCCGCTGCAGTTGCATCTGCTGCTCCAGCTGGGCGTAGCGTTCCAGCAGCTGCGACTGCTCTGTGCTCAGCTGCTCGTTGCGCTGCTTGTGAGAGAGATTCTCGTTGCCCAGTGCCTGCAATAGCTGCTCGGTCTTGGCTGCTGTTTGCTCGTGCTCCTCGCGCATCTTTTGCTCTGTCTCCTTGAGCTGGTCCACATGACGGCGCACCACATCCAACTGGCTAATGTAGCTCTCGATCAGTTCGTTCTTGTTGCGTATCTCCTGCTGCAGCGCCTCTTTGCCCTTCAGGCGATTCGCCGACTTGGCCTCCTTTACGGGCGTCGTTGTGGCCGAGTGGAGGGGTGTTGAGGATGCCGTCGAGGCTCCACTGCCCACCACCTGCTCCGCTGTGTGACTGGCCGCCGGACGGAACCGCAAGCGTTGCGGCAGTGAAGGCGTACGAAAGAGTCGCAAGCCCTTCGACTTTTTGTCCTCCTTGGGTATGGCAAACTCCTTGGCCTCCTTCGAGCTAGATGCGAATCGCACGGCATCCTTAAAGAACTTTTCGATTTGCTCCTTGCGCTCTGGCGGCGGTGGCGGCTGAGCCACAGCTGCAGCCGATGTGGGTGTGGCACAACCCGTAGATCCAGCCGAGCTGTTCGAATTGGAGGACGCAGCTGGAGAGCCGCAAACAACGTCCACATCGTTGAAACGCTTCAATTTGGCTTTGGAAAATGACATGTTTACCTTTTTGGTTTTCGCTTTGGTTGCTTTAACAATTAAACACTTCTTTTTTGTTAACAATTTGCTTTTCAATAACAAAAACTCAATAAAACAATTATTACGATCAAACACAAAACATTAACTCTTATATAAAACTTGTTAACAAATGTCCGTTTAATGCTTTGCTGTACTGTTTAGTCCGTTATTGTTGTTGTTGCTTAAAACTGTTTCCCTTGACCCGCTTGCCCCTATTTTGCAGCTGCGTCTGTAGCTGTGTTCCTACGCGTTCCGTTGTCAAAACCTAACTGAAGCGTTGCGAGCTGCGACGGCGCAAATGCAGCCGATCCCGACTCGAAACAACCCTCGCATAGGCAGCTAAAAGGTAGCCAGGGGTTGCCTTTTTCGGTGGTGGTTCGTGCCACACGCACACGCACACGCACACACACACAGTCTACCTTATCGTTATCTTATGTAAACTATAGAAATTTTACTTTTGGCGCGCGCAAATGTTGCAATTGTGAAGACAGGCAAGGCATATCTTAAGACAGACACACACACACAGGCACAGTAGCACGCTTGTGTGTGTGTACCTGGACAGCTGTGCCCAACAATCACATAGAGCATACTCGCAATACATACATAACCGTTAGATCCCCCCACTCCCAAAGCGGAAAAGGTGCCGCCGTCACAGCTGGCAGCCAGCATAAAGTTGACACTCGGCCCGCATCATTAAAGGAAAAGTCGTGGAAAACTCACTGAGTAAATGAAAATGCAAAGCGTTGCGCCTGCGCCTTTTCATTAGCTTAGCCATGGCAATTGGTTTGGCTAAATTAAATTGCGCTTATAGCACAAAGAAATCGATTAATACCAACTATATTTGAGAGGCACATGAACAGCTGATAAAACAAATGAATTGAATGTGTAGATCCAGGCAATTTCCAGGTAAGCCTTTTGAGCTGATCTTAGTACTATTATAAAATGTTCACGGCATTATGCTTTAAGTTATATATATATACTTAAATCAACTAATTCTCCACTTTTTATTTATATAATGTAGATAATATGCTGCACCCAGAGGAAAAGCCACAATTGTTAAAAAAATTGGCAGTAATTAGAAATATATAAAAGGGACGGAAGTGATTATTACTAAAATTATAATATTATTACAATATTTTGTAGACTTCATTGTTCCATACTCTACACATATTAGAGATCAATCTTAAGACTAAGCTACAGCTGCGTTTCAAGCACAAATCAATGGATAAATGGAAAACCTCATAAACACATTAAAATCCATTCTGAATTGTATATATATATATATATATATATATATATGTATATAATAAGTTTATATATCATATACATATTCAGCACCCAGCGGGAATGCCGCAACTGCCAAAACTACTGAATTGTGCAGATGTCAAAGGAATTGCGTCTTAGAGCCGCTCAGAGGGGTTTCTTCCATCCTTCCTTCCTTCCTTGCTATTTTCACTGCATTACATTATATACTCTGCTTATGCGTGAACCCTGTTAGCTGTGATAAGGAGGCGACAGTCAGCAAGCCTGGCCGGTTCAAAGTAAATTGTTTACTTTCTACCTTTAGTGAACCAGACCGAAGCAATCACAGTCAGGGCGCAGCTGGCTTTTTTGCGTGCTAATTGCAACAGTTTGTATAACTCGTATAGCTTAAAGGGTAACAGGACTTCAGTTAGCCACAGCTGAATGCTGTGCGCATCAGCAATTGTATGCTGGCTTTAATTACTAATGTGTGAAATAATTTATATAAGTTAATAAGCTTTACCATTTTAACAAATTGTTTGCTGCTTCTTCTGTCTCGTGATCTTTATACAAGTTCCAAGAATATCTTCTTTTTCAATCAAGATATTTCCTTGCACTTACTTTTCCCGATGATCACATGATCATCATTAATGAGCCCTCAACAAAATTAGAGACCGCCGACAATTTCCCATGCGTGATGAGGCATAACCAAAATTTCATTAGCACTCGATGCGCCAAATATAACCCCAAGAAATTATAATAACACGCTGGCTACAGACGCCATTGTGTTGCCAAGTTTGTGTCTGTTGCCTCGCACAAAGTGATCGCCGCATAAGAAAGGGTTCTTGCACCCTCAACGCAGACACAAAGGCATAAAAAGGACTCACAGTGAGTCATCGACCCTAGCTGAGACTGCGCAATTCTTTTCCATTGATGAGCGGCGCAATATGCGTGGCAACTGACAAGGACCCCAGGATCACAATCAGGATCAGGTTTCCTCGTCCGGATAAACACGTTGTCAGGAGCAGGATACAAACTAGCAAATGCAACTGGGAATCCATTGGAGTTTCATATTTGTGCGCAAACAATGCTTCTATCTGTACATAAGCCAATTATGTATATATTAATAAAGGATATGTGGATAAGCCTTAAATTCGAACTGTTGATTCAAAGGGAAGCGAAAAGTGCCAAGGCATTTGAGCAGCAAATATTTAAATTGAAAATCTATATCTCTTATGCTATTTGTTTATGCCTAATGGGATTTGCTGCTGAATGAAGGTGGGATGTAGTTTATTGCTGTTGCTTTACTTGATAAGTAATAGGGCGATAATTTTGTTGTTAAATTGATTAATAATTAATGAACTCGAATATAATTGCTTGCTATGAATAGTAAGTTTTAATCTACTTATAAACTAAATTTAGTGGTAGTGCTTACCGCTGAAATAGCAAATTCTTGGCAAATGCATAAAGCTCAATGTCGAGGCCATTCAACTTCTCGATGAGCCGCCGTTGATCGGGACGCAGATTCGTGACGGCAGTTGCCGAAATCGTGGCGTTGTGCTGCTCAAAGGGTATGGCAAAGCGCAGGTTGAAGGTCTCCTCGAATATATATTGGGACATCTGCAAGGCAAGTGGATTGAATAGTACGTTTTAGTCATTAATTAAGTACGTTTAAGGTAGAGTTACCTTTTGATATTCAGTCAGTCCAAAGTAGGCCATAGCGGCCAGATTGCGCTTGGCGCTGGCCAACATGACTCGATCGCGCTCGTGCGCCGGCATCGAGGACTTGTTGTAGCAGCCCACCAGGGCGAGATCGGCCAGCATACGAGTCTGCCGGTTGGCAGCCAGATTTGACTCGCAACCAGCAAACTGATCCAGATCAACGTCGAGCCAATCTTTGCCTTTGTAGCAGGGCGGCAGCTCGATGGCCGTTGCCTGCCGGCCCAGACACCAGTGCCGAGAACCCTTCCAAGTGGCGCCGCGTCTCACGTGCCGGTACTCGGACATATAGCGTGAGATCGGTTCGCGCAGCAGGGAGATATAGAAATAGCGACGCTTGGCCGTCTCGCCCTCATTCTTGTCCAGCTCGACGTCCACGCAGCTGGTCAGTTCTGTCCAGTCGGCGTGCAGGCCGCACTTCCAGCCGGTTGAGTATCTCGAGAAGAGCCAGTTCTCATTGCGATGCGGCCGGAAGCAATAGCAACGCTTGCGCTGACGCTGACACTCACAAGGACGCTAAGAGTAGAGCTCGTTAGGATTGCCTTAGTTTATTATAGAATTTGGAGCTCACCTTCAGGTCCAAGTCGCGCACCAAATGCCGTCCGAAGGATGTGCCTCCTGTTTTTTGTATATGCAGAAACACCATTACATCGTGTCCATCCATGTCGAATTGGAAGTCATCGTTCAGCACATCCTCATAGCTTAGTCCGGCGTTGGCTATTATATTCTGTGGCGCTGAGGCTTTCGACGCAATTGCCGTACTGCCGCCCACATTGTTGTTGATGTTGTTATTATTATTGTTGTTGTTGTTGTTGGCCTGAAGCTCATTGTAGGCCATCATATCCGAGGACTGGAGTATTACGGCGCGTTTGGATAGTGCGCATACCTGCGGTTCGTGGGCAAAAAGAGCAAAAGTTAAGAGACATTAAAAATGCGCAGGCAGAAAATTGTTAAATTTAATTTTATTCCTCGTGATATCCTGCAGACGAGAAAAAGCATTAACTACACGTGGCTTAAAATTCAATGTATTGCCAGCAAAAATGACATAAAGGACGCGAGTGCGAGTGTTTATTTGTCTTCAATATTAATTAAATGACCAGCAGGATTAAATGCCAATTTGTGATATATCTTCAGGCATGTTAACGCTGCATACTGCGCAATGCTTGACCAGGCCGAAAAATACTCGCAGCGGTTTTCATATGTGCCCAATGAAATGTGCACCTTTTTTTATTTATTTTTTAATTTCACTCACTCGGCGGTTATTAAGTGTGCGCTTGCACTGCACTCGAGCTATTTGATCTTTTATTTACTCTATTTACCTTTATGCAGGCGAAATTAATATTTAAAAAATTTCCATTGCATACTTTTGGGCGGGCGTCTTAATTCGTCACGGCGTAAGCGGCAGTAGCTAATGGATTTCTGATGTGAATCCAATTGGAGTGTTGAATGGGATTAATGAATGCATGAAATTCTTTGTGTTGTACTCAGCAGGCAAAAGCAATCGATGTAAGTGAAATATTATATTATTAATATTCCTGTTGATGAAAATGAGGCTTGTAAGCTATATATCATATATTGCTTTAAGCCATTTTTGCCTGTCAAAACTCACTTAAAAAAGCAATTAAAGAACAGCCAAGTGGTAAACTGAAAGAAGTTTAACAAATATATTTGGACTATACATTGTTTTTGGTTGCTCTGCTCTCCTTGTTGCTGTGATTATTTTTGTCCTTTCCATTCATCAAAAGCTGAAGCCAAAAGTTTCTCGATTAAAATGAACAACTTTTTGCGAAACTCTCTCTATCTCGTTCTCTTATCTAACTGTTTCCGCTGCTTATAGCTAGCAGCGAGAACATAGAACTAGCCAAAAGCGTAAGCCGGAACAACTAACAAGTCGAACCAACAACAGCAACAGCAACAGCTACAGCAACAGCAAATGGGCCAACTGAGCAGCTCATTAAACAATTGGCAATTGGGTTTGAGCGAAATTTGTGGGCAAGAAATTAAACAGGCTTTGGTGGGATTGTGGGTGTTCTGTAGGCCTTATCTTAAAGTTCGGCACAAGCGCATGAATGCGTGTTAACTTGGCCAAAAAGATGAAGCAGCAGCCCAGGCCCAGGGAATAAGCAACCGTGCTGTACATATTTACAGCTGCATGTGGTAAAGGTTTGGCCTTCCGAGCAGGTGCAAAAAGTTCTGAATTTATTGTGCAACAAGAACAAGAGAATTCGATTATCAGGCAACTGCCAGAAAAATGGCCAAAACTTCTCAGTCGGCGCCCGAGGGAATGTTGAGGTTTTCTATTTGTCAGAGCTTTGTTCCATCAACGATTTATTTGCTTGCCAAATTTCTGTGGCTTCTTCTATTTGCCAATTTAATTTACGTCCAGGCATTTATCAACTGAGCCTAAATAAAAAATAAATAGAATACATTTATGTGCTTTTCGGCCCGAAAATGAGGCGCAAATCTACCACTAATGAGTAATTTAATTTTATTTCGCGCTACGCAACACATTCCACGGAAAATAATAACATTTTCGCATCATGTGTGCGTCTGTCTATCTGTGTGTGTGTTAGATAGAGCTCGCACTTTGCTGGCCATTTAATTGCTTTTTATAGGCAGACATAAAAAAATTATATGCACTATGGCCACACACCGCAAACCGCCAGCCACCCGAGGCGAGTAGACGCCACCACCATGCACAGCTTCAGCCGCAGTTTAGGCAATGGCCGCAGCGTTCCGTAATAATATAATAATAGTAATCATTTAGTGGGCAAATTGGTTCGCTGTTCACGCGCCCAACATATTCGCATTCACTCACGCCCACACGGCGACACATAAAATGGCATTGTGTTGGTGTCATGCATGTGTGAGCATTTATGTCGTGTTCTTAAATGCTTAGCACACAAACAAAGACACGACACTTAAAGTAGCAAATGTTGCAGCTGGAGATGTGCACGTGACACGATAAGAGTATTTATACATATGCCTATATATAGAGAGTATATGTAGAGACTATATAGTAGCAGCATACAGCTTACATATCATCCAGGTACTGGGATTTGAATCTGTCTGTGTTGGAAGAGACTTATTTTGAACAAAACTTTTAATTGTTTATATCGAATATCAACAGCCAAGACAAGAACCACAATTGTCACTTACTACCTGAATCAAAATCACTAGAAATGCGAATCAGAATCAATCTGGTCGAGACTTACGTCGAGACTTACTCAACGATGAATTTCTTCAATTAAACACTTAAGTTGTGTTTTATATATAAAGTTTTTCTGTTCAGCAATATATATATGTTTTCTTAAGTTAACAATAAATCTTATTCACAAGCTGGCCTTTCAAAGGACGCACAAATTTGACTTTGAATCAAATTTTGTTGCGCTTACGTATTTTACACGACGCAAATAAATACTATTACTATAGCTGTAACTAATTCAACTAGCAGCAGCAAACCACATTTTCATTGCTTTGCCGGCCCTTGACATTTCCAATTAATTTAAGTGCAAAATATGCAGGCAGTGCAGCCTGGCTGCCGGTCTGGTCGGCAGCAAGCAGCAATAAAAATCAGCGTGGAGCGAGGAAATGTAGGAAACGAGATAAGCAATTTGGTTTATGTCTACGATAGTCATAATATTTGTTATCTATGTGCAAAGTAGGCTACTAAAAAACCACTGAGAGAAAACAAAAGTCAAATAAAACCGCAAGTTTGAGTTAAGTAAATTAATATTTACGAGAGAGAAAGAGAGAGAGCGGCACACAGATTTAAGATTTAAGATTGTGCGCTTTATAAAGCACAAGGACTAACAACTGTTCTAGTGTGTACAACACACACACATACGCACACACAGACACACACATGTCTGCCAACACTCGTAAATTTTCAGCACACCAAAAAGTAAACAATAAAACTTTTTGTAAAGGAACAAAATGTTCTTGCTCAAGATTTGATGCTGAATGGCCATAAAAAAGGAAACGAAATAGAACAGCAAATGGATATTGTGGAAAAATACGTACTACCAGGGATATAAAATGCTACGCAAATGCACAAAATAAATTGAAGAATCCACAAAAAAATTGTAGACGTACACACAATTCCGTTTATTGCTTATTTTTGAAGACACCATCAACAAACCAAATTCTCTTCTTTTAGAAACACAAATATAACGCTCCGGTGATTTCGCGTACGCAAACTATTGAAAGATTAAATATTAAAAATGATTTGAATTGGAATTATTTGAGCAGGAAAACTCACGAATTCTTGGCCTTATTTCGTGCATTTCCGCCATGGCATCAAATTGATTCTCCTCCTGCACCACCTGCGCGTTCTCTGCGTGCAGGCTCAAACAAAGGCTTAAAATGAGTAGCAGAAATAATGGCAACTGAGCTGCGTGCATGGCTATAAACATTTGGCCCACGTCTTCCCTTAAAAACTAGCAAAAAGTTTCCGCTCAAGCCTCACGCTTTAATACAGTTAAGCCATTTCTTCGAATATGCTATAGCACTCATACATGGACACACACTGATTAGTGGAATCGAGACGCAAGTGGCCAGGCTTGCAGCCGCAGCCCAGCTTGCAGGTATTGAAGCAGCTGTCGTCGAAGTTATAGGGCACCGTGCAGGTCTCCTCGAAGCAGGGCAAACAAACAAGCTCCTCGTTCTCGCCACAAGCTGCAAGAAAACTCATACTGTCGCACTTATACTGTTACACGGCTTATACGATTACATACACTTCTCAACTGGAGCTGCCAGCAAGCAGCTGAGCAGCGATGCAAATGCAAACAACAACATGACGCAACAGCACGCGGTAACAACCTGTGCCCCATAGCGCACTACGGCTAACAGTGCGCTCGTTCTCTACGCTCTTTAAGCATTGCGAATTGTGTGTTATGGCAATTAGCCAAGTTTACATTTGCTCTGCTGCTGCGCTTGTTGACAGAGAGGGTATACAAACGTCAAGAATTACCACGCTTTCGCTCAACTTAGCTCAGCGATTGAGCACTAAAGGCAAAATAGTTAAGCAAGCGAGGCAGTGTAAGGCTATTAGAGTGCTGACTTTTAGATACCCTGTAATGGCAAGTGTGCTTGGCAAACAGGACAACTAGCATCTCAGTATGTGATTGCTTACAGCAGTAAGAAGCGACTAAAAGCGAAACTTTTCCCAGCTCAAACACTCGAAAAGTATATCTCTGTATATATATAAACATTATTGATGTCTAAATTTCCAAACTATTCATTATAAAATAAATCATGCTTGGAATTAAAACCCTTCCATTTGAATGCATGTCTTTTTGCCTGTCCGAAAATCTATGTATTATCTTTTTTCCATAATACATAGAGTATACAAATATAAAGTCTTTATGAAAATGTGTTTATGTAAATATTGATTTAAGTTTACGTTTTTTAATTAAGACACAAAGCTTGAAGCTTTAATAGCTTTAATATATACACAAATATATTAGAATAAATTATTTAAATTGAATAAATTTAACTATTGTAAAACAAAAAATGTATAAATTCCTTGAACAATTTGCTTAATAAATGAAATTTTGCTTAGTCAACTTACATACAAATACAAAGATTATATTATCCCTTATTTCAGTGCGGCCCAAACTTATTAATAGCTCACAATAGTTAAATATTGTGCTTAAGTGCTGCTTTCATTATACATATTCTAACAATTTGGCAGCTATAATGGCATATATATATATACATACACATACATAAATACATAGACATATTTAACGATCCGCACAAAAGAAATCTGGGCCCGAAATGCGCAACCCCAAAAGTGTGCTATCAAATATTTATATGCCGCCTGCTAATGGCGTGACTTTGGGCTTTTTTTGACAAGGCGAGTGGTGAATGCCGCAAATAATTCACATTTGCCGTGTAATAATCGCATTGGCATGTTTAAATCGCATAAGCAGCGGCCTCTTTTATGCACAAAATTTACACAAAAATTTTCTGCCGAAAATGTGCTTCATGTGCACAACCCATGCAGTCCTCAAATTCACTCTGTGTGTGCACTCCTCCATACATGTTCATGTATTTGTTTAAATGATAATAAAATGCAGCACTCTAATGTAATTTATCACTAGAACAGTGTGTGTGTGTGTGTGTTGTAGCCAGTGTTGTATAATTTTTATATTTCCGTTTTCATGTCAGCCACATGGAGAGCATTGGATTTTATATGATTGTACGAGTCCTGCCTACTACAGTCTTATTGTTTACCTGACAGGCACAGTGTGTGTGGGTGTGTGTAGTCCTTTTCGGTTGGCCATTTCATTCGCCTGATTGTATGTGTATTGTGTTTTGTGTCTGGCCATTGAATTGTTAGCCACAAAAATGGTATATGACAGCGTCAAAGCGGCTGCCCCTAACAGCTCTTAACTTGACTTGCGCTTATACTGCAAATAAATACATGGCTTAAGCCGAACACTTGTCATCGCACTCCAGTTCAAGTAGGTGAGGGAATTGGAATTCGAATTGAGGTGCTTTAAGGTGAGTGTTTTATTTATATATCTCACTTTATTTGAAGTCGTTGGGTGTTTTATGCCTTCTTTGAGTAGGAATGAAAGCACTCTCAGATTATTAACATAAAAATTTGTGTAGTTAAGATTAACTAATGCCTATAGCTGCTTTAATCTATAAAGCAAGCTCTAAGTCAATCAAGAGAACTTAATTATGACAATTGGCAGAGTAAAGATAGTTGCCCTCAAGTTCTATCCATAAATTTAGATACACGTTGAGGATTGATGTATTCACTTTATGTTTGTCATTTCATTTATCAAATGGAAACTCAAACTTAGTGGGTTGCTCTGGATTTTATGCTTTAAATCATTGAAAATCGCTTATATTCTTAAAAGAGCGTTAGTATAACAGAAAAGGGATCAACACATGATGGACGCACATATATTATTTTTTAAAGCACAACGCTGAAAGCTAATCTATTTTAAGTGTCTGTAAGGCATTCAACCAAACCATGTGCTGGGTGTCTGTGTCTACGTTAATGAAATGTAGCATAATATTTTTAGTTTAGACATTGGCCGACTACACAATGAGTGTGTGTGTGATAAGCGTTGTGTAAATCCCGAAAATAAGCAAAGACATAACATAGAACACGCACCCACACATACTTAGACAAATCCCCTATAAGAGCTGAATAGCTTTGGATATCCTCTCGCTTTTGGTCACTGACCATAAATTCAACTAAAATATATTTTGACATTTTGCACGCAAAGCGCTTGATGAGCGGCGTAGAGCAGAGGCTGAGTGGGAGTGAGAGTGGATGAGGCTAACTAAGCGTATTGGCCTTCCTACATCCCAGGGTGCAAATGGGCCAAAAGGGAGAGCACACAGTTACATAAAGGTCATCGCAAGGACCAGGCCGCATTTCCTATGAAGTGTTAACATGCGATAACAGCTAAGGCAGAGGGCCGCCGTCCCTTGCCTCAAACAACAAACACAATAAATGATACCAAATGCTGATGACGGCCCAAAGATTCCACGAAAATCATGTCGAACGCTGGCAAAACAGAGCACGAAGACACGCAAGCAATACACACGATGTTTTAATACAGCAAGCAACATTTCGAAATATTTATAATACAGAAAACAAAACTGAAAATAAAGTATAAAAAATCAAATTTGATATGAAAACTTTTAAGTTAAGCTTCCTAAACATATACTTTAGTCAAATCTCAAGTCTTCTGTCGAATTACTAGAAATAGTGTTGTGAAGGTTGTTTGTATAGTGTTGAATAAGGCTAACAAATCTGCAGTCTCGAGTAAAGCTGGGATAATTGAAGTGTTGAATAGATCATTACTTTTTGAAAGATTTCGTGTCACGCATTTCTCGCTTCCAGCTCTGTCTGAGCTTCTTCATTCTCTCACACTTTGCAACTCCACAAGTTTATCATTTATCGCTCCGTCATTTGGCATTGTTTCGGATTAGCAGCAAGTGGCCAGAGCAGCAAATGAAGTGAAATGGCTTGAAAACGATGATAAAACGAATCAGTGACTATATATTCCTCATCTTTATCATAGACGGTTTTGCTTTTTGTCGAGATTGTTGCAACAGTAGAATGAAGTGAATGTTGCATTATTCAAGAATTTTATTTAGTTTCTGTGGCATTTTTATGCATCTTTAACTTTTTTGCTGTGCGCTCACCAAAGCATTTTAATTGCGCGTTTTAACAGCAAAAAATGCTTCTCCACGCTCGTAAACTGGTGTAAGAAATTGTTGTGGTCGGGCTTTGAGGGCACGCAACGGGGTTTGTGGGGGCGTGTGACATAATTGGCGACCGCTGTGCTGAGCTGAGCTGCTGGGATGCCCTGGCACGGCCAGGGCCATAAAAATGTGCAAAGTATTCCGTTCGCCCGACTATGCCACATATATTCGAACTGCCTCGGCTTGACAGGACTTTAAAAACTTAAGAGTTCGCGACCTGGCGCTGCTTTTTTCTTGTCAGCATTTTTTAAAAAATTTAATTTTGTGGTTTGGGGAGTTTTAAAATTTGTTTTTTATATTTTTGTTTTGGTTTATTCGCTGCAAGTTTTCTTTTATTGCACTCAACTTGGCGTGTTAATTTAAATGAAAAGTGATTTATTTGTGTCCTTGGGCAGCTTAAAGTTGTTCAAATTACTTTTTTGAGATACTTGGTTTGTTTGTTAGTTAGTTGAGTGTAGTAAATCATGGCATGGTAATCCGAGAGCTTTGGCTATGTCCCTCAGTTCATATGATGCACAAGCTGGGGCAGATTGTTTACCTAACTGTCATAACACACAATGACAAGGGTATTTAGAAGAGCTTTAAAAATAATTTCTCGAAAAGGAAAAGCAATCCAGGGTCGGCGCGTCTGTGCGACTAGTTATACCCTGTAATCAGGCGGTTAGCTCGGCTTAAGTATTTAGTTGAGATTTTGGATCGTATTTTCTTAGTCCTTCCGGCAGGTAAATCTCTCGCCTTCGTCAAAACAATGTCACAGATAATCTTTAAATGTAAATTTATAGCTAAATTTTTTAAAATTGTTGAGCCTTTTTAAAACTGGACAACAAATGTTTTGCCCTAGAAGTGACTTTTTGTCTTTCTCTTTTTCCATTTCATTTTTGGGATACAATTCAATTTTGCGTGACATGATGACCAGGAAAAATGGTCAAATGTTTTTCAACAATGTCATTTCCTTGATGTTTTCTTTTATGTTGTTAGCTAAAGAAAAAATTCAGCTTAAAATGGAGCGAAAAAAGAAATAGACAAAAGCAAACCCTGCTAGACTAACTGACTATGGGCATGATTTTTCGCTTTGCCTTTGTTTGATTCGGTTTATTTATCTTTTGTTTTGGTTTGTTTTTCTTTTTTGGCTGATTTGATTTGTTTTCGGGGTCTGCTTTTGTCCACGACTCAGTTTTCTTCTCTTGTAAATGCTCGCACTTTAATCAAATGCCAGCTAATCTTTTGAGCTGTGCTGATGTTGTGTGTTGTCCCTCTGGGATTTCTTTTCCTAGGCAGAGCAGCTAGCCGAAAGTCTTTTAACGCATTACGCATAGGCCATGTTGTGCTTTGCGGCTTGGCTGCAACACTTGAAGTAAATGCCAAAAGTGTTGGCCAAGTTAATTGTGCTTTGGTATGAAATTTCAGCTGCTGCCAGTGCTTAAATAATAATTTAATTAAATTCTGTGAAACCCTATGCATATTTATTATGCTGCTGGAGACACTGGAAAATTCTTCGGCATACACACTCACACACACGTATACAGAGAAGAGCCAAAGTCCTGCAGTTGTTTTAGTTGCATGCCAGACACGTTCTCAGCTTGCAACTGTTGTTGCAGCTGCTTTACATGTGCAACAATATGCCACAACAATGGGCCGACTCGTGCAGCAAGTCCGTGCAACGAGGCGTATGAGTGTTGACTGCCGCTAGAGTGTGGGCGTGTGTCTGTCTGTGGCTTATTATGCCATTGCATGCAAGGCCGCAACAAATCATGACATAAAGAAAGACACAAAATGTTCAAATTTCTATACACACATCTACATATATATTGTATATGTATATATAAATAAATATATATATGGGGTCGCATATATACGAAAAATGTGAAGAACATGCATGCAATTGTCTTTACACGTGCTTTATTGTTGCTGTTTTTAGTTGGCTAACAATTGCTATACACACACAGATACATATATAGTTAGTCACTCATATGCACGTGCTATTTGTTTAACTTGCTTCCGTTTGTCTGTTTATTTATTTACTCAACTATGCGGCGCCTTTTTGTGTTGCCTCATAATGTGTTTATGCCAAGTGTTTATCCAATAACTTTTCTTATATTTCTTTTTGTTGTGCTTTGTTGTGTTGTGTGTGGCCCTCAGGCTCGCTTCAAGCATTTAAGTTCATAAATTGCGCATACGCAGTGTGGGCCGGTGTCTGATAGAAACTCTATGAACTGACATGACATTAGCAAATGTGCCCGCATCTGTAGCAAAGCTTTAAATTGTTGTTTGCCATTGTTAAATGTTTTCGTGCAGTTTTTTTACGCCTTTTATCGGCGTTGCGACATTGACGCAATAAATAACGTTGTCAAAAACAACAGCAAGGCTATAAAATTGACGTTGACTACATTAGAAAATAGATGTTTAGAAAATGTTTCGCGTGTGCCATTAGCACAAATTGTATTTAATAAATTTTCTATTTAATTTTAGGTAAGCATTGTACTTTTTAAGTATAATTTAAATATTTTTCAATATAAATTAAATGAAATTCGAACAAAGCAAACAAAAGTTCTAAAGTTAAGATTTATTTTGTTATAATATATGTATAGTTTTACAATAAACTGTGTTAAATGATGTCTTGTCACAGAAAATGTTGTTATTTATTCGCTTTATCATTTGGTCAATTACTAAATAATTCAATTAGGAAAAGCCCTATATACATAGTTTATATATATGCACAACTGCTTAACAATGAAAGGTATTAAATACTCTACAAGCTAACTGCAAAAAGGCAGTCATCACAAATAAACAATACAAATTTGGTTTTACAGAGCACTTGTTTAATTGGAAACACAGGCATTTGGCACTCAAAGAGCTAATTGGCACTTCTGAAGAATTTACGTTTAAGGGCTTCACCTTAAAGCAGCAGGTGATATCATAAAATGTCGAAACAGACATCCGGCAAATTTAATTTAAACAGCACATAAACTGGTGGCTTAAAAAAAACGGATTTTAAATTTTCTTTAAGAATTTAAGATTTTTATTCTTAAATTTATTATTTATTATCTATTTTAATATTTTTTAAGAAAAACAAAACTCTGAAAAACTTATTCTTTCAATTTTCCAGTCATTTATATATTGTAGAGTATTTTATCTTCCATGTCAAGTCTACAATTCTACTTACTGACTTTCCTATTAATACATACATAAATTATCTAATTGTTTTGCATCGCGAAACAAATTGTGTCGAAAGAGAGAGAAATCACATGAGACAGTTTTTTGTTTTGCCGGCCATAAAAACCAGACTGCAGTTCGATCGGTTTTTAGTTGACAACAGGTAACAGGTAATAGCTGACAGGTAAAAGCTCATAGCTAATATGACTCGCGCACTTATCGTTATTGGACTTTCGCTGCTGTTCACTATGGCCCCAGCCAATTATAAGTAAGTAGTGAGTAAATAAGTGAGAAAGGTGAGAGAAACGATTTTTAGTTGTTGTCTTTTGCTTTTCACAGTTTTAATTCAAGCGAAATACTACGACTGGGCTATAATCCCACCTATGATCTGTGGTACTTCAATCCCAAAGGTAGACCAAGTGCAGTAAGTGAATCAGTCAAATCAGCCTACAGAAAACAAAAACCTGGCGGTGTTTGTTATGTGGACCCAGACACATGGTTTTTCTGTAAAACGTTTGAGCCGATAAACTAAGAGTATTTAGTATTGTGTTCAGGCATTACTCACGGCTGTTCAATTGAGCTTAAAATATTATTTCATCCATTAAATATACCTGCAAATAGAAGAGATTTGAACAAAATTAAAGTAATTTAATTTAATTATTGATATTTTATATAGAATATTATTTATATATACTATTAGCTATTTTAAAAGTTATCTGTCCGTATCTCAACAAACATATAGTAGAGGGCAGATAACAATGGAACCAATGTTTAACAACTTAAATGGATCTATTCAATCTACGCAATTACTGTGCTTAGTTCTATGAAAATTGTGAAAAATGCAGTCACTTAAACAATTCGCAATTTAATGCATGTATATATACCAAAAAATTTAATTAAATATTTTTAAAATTCATTTTTAAAGAACATATGATAAATTGCACATTTAAAATATGTACAAAATATGTTAGATACGAAATCAAAAATAAAATGGAAACAACAAATAATATTGCATGCATTTTTCCAGAGCTATGCAGTTTGGAGTAAAAGTATTAAATTCTCAACTATAGCCAAGCAAGTCTGCTTCCATTAATATCTACATTTTGCAGCGCTTTAGCAGCGTATATGAAAGTTATGCCAGGCCGAAGGAAATTGAAGTTGCAGCTGGTAATATTATATTTACTTTGGACGCGTTGGGTGTCGAATTGCAGCAACCGGTTTTACGAAAAAAATCAGCAAACTCTATGGCAAAGCTGCTAGACAGCTCGCAGTGGACTGCGAGGCAGCCAAGCCATTTCCATATACTTCATATTTATATAGGAGTATATATAGTGCATATATCTTCTACTTTTTTGTGGTACTGTGGCACGCTAAGGAAATGAAATATGAAATAATTTATGAAATAAGACGAAACGTTAGGGTTGTGCAGTCACAATTTATGTTTGTGCTACCAGATAGTAGTAGGTCAGGCTGTGGTGAAAGCGACTTTTTGATGGCTCACTTATTGTTATTGTTATTGTAAGCGTTAAGTTTTTGGCTTTATTAAAGTCAGAGCAAAAGTTGAGAGCTGACATGCTGAAGGCAACACAACGGAATGAGAAGAGCAACAAAACAAGCGGAAATATATTTCCATTGGTATTTCGAAGAATTAAATCGACGTTGAGATACCGTGTAAATATTTATCTAACTAACTCTAACTCTATGAAGTTCTGTTCATTTTCAATTTTTTGTATACATTTTTATGTTTAAGATGTGATCAAAATTTCTTCTATTAGTTCCATTTTTTATTTACAACTCATTCTTTGATAGTCTCATATTTGCCCAACAATTCAGATATTGCAAACACCCCCTACTATGCATTCTTGCAGGGTACATCTTGACTAGTCCATCCAGTGTTACATGCAACAAAAGCAGGCAACAGACTGCTCTTGCAAAATGAAGTGTGTGAAAACGAGTCCATTTATTACTGTTGCTGCTGTGCACGAAAAGAGGAAAAAAAGCAACAGCAAGGAAAACAAGTCAAGTTTCCGACAACCGTTGTCATCTGCTCCGAGTTCTCAGGAATTCTGTCATGAAGGCAAACTAGCAAAAAGCGCAAATGACGAACATTTTGAAATTATAGAGCCAGCTGGTTTGGCGGGAGTCACACCCCAAAGCTATGCAACAAATTGTGCCTCTGCGCGGCATATTATGCATACGCCGTGTGGCCGGCACTGCTAAAGTAAATAAATGTTTTGAATAAATTGCACAAAAACTACAACTTCAGTTAAGTCATTAATTAAAATAAAATTTTCCATTAACTTTTGCAAAACTTAACAGCCAAGCGAAAGTTTTTAGCTAATATTGAAACTACTAATTGGCTTTTCGTATATTATTTAAACTTCATATTGAATGATACAATTTTTGGCAAAAACTTAACAACTCTGGCATTGAAAGTTTCTCTACATTGCATATCTATATTTTTTTTTTTAATTTGATAACTTAGCAATTTCGTCATTCGCAAAGTTTTTGCGGTAGACCGCACCGAACTGTTTGCATCTAATCGAATTGGCATTTCGACTGCCAAAGTTTTTAGCACACAGACACAAGCACACCAATTGGCTTTCAGCTGGAAATCATAGAGCATTTTCACTGCATATAGCCCACACAAATCTGTAAAAAATGCATTTTGCAGCTTTAGTTATATGGGAACAAAGTGCCAAATAAAGCATTTTTCGTTTATTGTCCCTGTTACAAACACACACACAGGCACACACGCTCACATATTCCCATTTATGGGCTACACACCGTTTTGAGCACTCTGTTGAAATGGGAAATTGAAATTGTTTGCAGAGTTTCATTTGCGACCAGAACATTTTTACTCTAGCCAATTTTTGCTAGAGAGTTAGAGAGGAGTGCGTGTCGATAGTTTGATAAACGAATGCTTTGATAAATAAGAAATAATTTGTTAGAATTATACATAAAAAATAAAATATTCAATTTTTCCTGTAACTTGAAACTTAAAAAGTTGCTTCAGCTTAACGTGAGTATTGGCTCACATATAAACAATACACTCAAAAATATAATTTATATTTTATCAATATTTTATTGAAGCCATTCAAGTCCTTTTTGACAGTTGAGTCCAGTTTGAGTTTCCCCTTCATTGTGCATTTTTCAGCTCTAGTTTTGAAGTGATTTTCAACACGAAGCTTATTGCGTTTTGATGAATTTTACTGCCGATGAATTTGGTATTTGCTAAAGGGCTTTTAATTGTTTTCTGAGTCGAATGGGTTATATGCACTTTGCCAGATTGCATTTGGCATTGCTTTGGGCTGGGATTTTGTGGCATTTTAAAACGAAGCAAGTGGGACGAGCGGTTGCCCCGGGTTGTCATAGATCAGACGTTGCTCTTTGTTGGCTGCTTCATAAATATTTATTAATATTTTGAGTACGATGCAAAAAACCAGAGTCATAATAAAGCATAAAATTTCTAAAAAAATAATGGAAATGCCAACCAAAGCGCAGCGCAATCAAATCAGCTAGAAGAGAAAAATATGGAAATGGATGCACATAGAAAAGAGACGGAAAAAGAGAGTAAAAACTGAAAAGCAACCACAGTAGCAAAAGCAGCAGCAGCAGAAGCAACAGCAGCAGCAGCAGTAGCAGCAGTAGCAGCAGTAGCAGCAGCAGCAGCAGTATAAATCTAAACACTGTTGACAATAAGCAGCTGCAGCATCCATTCAGCTAAATCTACAAAAGATTTCAATCCGCATTTACGACAGAGTGCAACGAATTTGAGATCTACGGACATGTTATATATATTATTAAATCAATAATTTTATAAAAAATTTAAAATTTTATTTAACGTATAAGAAGAGGATGCTAAAGAATAAATTTAATCAATTTTTAAAATTTCTTTATGCTATTCGACAAAAAGCTGATTATTATAAAGCCTCAGTCAGTAAAAAAGCTTAATATTTTTATACACATTAATGTATAAAGATTTGATTTGTCTCTGTTTTTGCATACCATTTTCATAAATTTTCAATTTATTTTTTTTTTATTTATTATTTATTTTATTTTATTTATATTCATTCAGCATAAATATTGATTTAGTGTGGTTAAAATTGTTGTGATATAGTCATCTATAGCATATTTGTTTACTAATTGCTCACTATCATTGAGGCTAACCAAATAAATGAATTTTTCTCATTCAGTCCGTGCCATTACGGCCTGTGCCCACTGCATCTGCAACATTTATGTTTAAGTGAATCTTTTAACGTTCGCAATTGCCACATAAAATTTGCATTTCTTCTGTTGATACAATTGCGAATGCACCATAAAGTTTGCCCCACAATGATAGCGACAACCCTGCATACACACAAACACACACATACATATATGAGTATCTGCATACGCTACGCTTTCTCTCTCTGTCTCTCTTTTGTTATTGCTGCATTGAGGCACGTTGCTTTTTGCCGGAGCTGCCCTTGCCACAGCTTTCAGATCGCTTTGTGCCGGATATTTACGATTTACACGTATGCGAATGCAACGACAACGGCAAAGGCAACGGCTGCATCGACTACCGTCGCTGCTGCTGCCAACTTGAACGCTGCTTGCGGGCGTTAATGGTTCATGTTGTTGCCTGACAACAATAACAAAGACACAGCAGGACAAATTCGCACCAGCTGCAGGGAGATGGGCCGCTGCGAATACCCTGTAAAATTATTCTGTGTGGCCTTTAGCTCGTGTAACTGAAACAGTCAACTCTATCGATATGCATTGCAAACATTTCAGTCAGTCCAAAATACCCCAGGCTGGCAACGTTTACAGGGTATAGAGACAACAATGGCGCACCAAAAAGTGCCTACACAAACCCGGCATGGCAAATAGTGCGCAATGCGCTAGCTCCTTCAAGTATGCAGCACAAGTTCGCTTGACAATTATTGTGATGATGCCATTGAAATTCAATTTCGTATGCTGCGTATGCTGCACAGCACCAGTCCCAGAGGCCTGAAAGAAAAGTGACCGCTGCGTCGGGACGGGCTCCTTTTGTGCTACTCAATTTTGTTTACAGCATCTGAAATTCTCTGCCCCATACACAATGAGTTGCGGTCCAGCTCCTGTTTTTATGGCTCTGCAAGTGCAGCAGATTTTTGATTTATTGTTCTGGGTGTTGGCCGAACCTTTTCCTAGCTGAATGTGGGCACACTATGCATTTTTGCTCGCCAGAGGCAGTTTTTAAATTTCAATTAGCTCTTTGGTATTGGCTAGGCCTGGCCAGTCAAACGGAAAAACATTGCGATTGACAAAACATGCTTGACGACTGCAGCGCGTACGTATGCAGATAGGATGTTATTGATAGGCAGCAGTAGAGATAGAGATAGAGAGAGTGAGAGGGAGGGAGGGAGGGAGGGAGGTATTGAGTTTGAGATTGAGCCAGCCTATCGAATATGCAACTAGGACAGCACACTGTACAAACTTCTAGCAAGGCTTTACTGTCTTTACCTATTGACTATTCTATGCCATTCAGGTCAAGTCACGTCCAGTGGAACATAATTTGCTTTTATTAATTCATGTCTGTCATGCAAAACATGTGGTTTAGATTAGCATTTTTCTAGATTTATGAATGCAAAAGATT